AAAAACAGTGGCATTGAACCCTTTGGTACAGGGGGTGACACACACAGGTCGCCGTGGTCGGCGCTTTTTTTTCCTTTTCCTTTCAAAAGCCGGCTGCAAGCTGTTGAGTCGTGTCCTTTTTGGACGTAGAGTTTCACAAGTTCAGTGGCAGCAGCATCAGCGCTCGAAAGTGGAAGTTGTGAAAGTGTGAAAGGTGGTAAGTCCATGCAAGTCGAATTAAGCGTTCGAAATGAATCAAATCGCTCAGCTTGAGGAAGAAAACCACGAAACGCAAGGTTCAAAGCTAATACAAAACCGATGCAGGGTGAAATCTGCTGGTGTCCCGTATTTTGGCCCGGCGGCCGTGGAAGCGGTAAATTCAGTTAAGGTTGGGCCAGTGGTGAATTCCGGTGAAGGTGGAAAAGCTCAGTTACACGATTTCCGGCATGAATTCAGCGCCCCAGTGACGGGGATCACACTCAGCACCCGAGTGGGACGGCTGAGCGAAACACACTCTGACATTGGTTTTCAGTTAACTCAATTTCCCGAGAAAAGGAGTGGCTCAAGGGCAAGGTGAAGAGCCCGATCAAATTGAAGGTGTTTGCAACAAAAGGTTTGTGCGCATCTGCAGACTCGCGACAGCGGACGAACGGCGGCGCAGCTGCTGGGGAAGAGTAGGTTTGGGGGAAGTATCATGAATCACCATGGAAACAAAAAGGAGATTGGACAGCTTGTTCAAAAGTTCAGCAGGTACACAGGCATGATCAGTCCCTGCTTCCCCTTCTTGTCCACAGCATCGTTGCGTGTGGTAGGACAAGAAGGCCACACGCCCCTGCCTCGTTGAGTGGTTGTAGTGAAAAACAGTGGCATTGAACCCTTTGGTACAGGGGGTGACACACACACACACACACACACACACACACGCATGTACCACGTACCCTGAGTGAGGAGCTCAGAGCCTTCTACTATTCTACTAAGGGCCAATGGCTTGGAAGAATTCTTTGACTGCTTGGCACACGGGGCACACACGGCCTTGGATTCCCTTTCCGTGTAGGCCGTAGGGCCCAAGCCGTGTGGCCCAAAACCCATGAGCCGCTGAGCACCGAAGGAGCCGCCCAGGAAGAAGCGCTCCTGTTGCGCCGCGGGGTCGAGTTGCCTCGCGAACTGGCTGCTTGGTTTGATCAACCATCCGTTGAGTTGTTGGAAACTATGCGTCCCCTCTCACAAAAGCCACTATGCGTCTCTGGGCCTTGCTGGTTGCTGGTGGGACTTCTGAAGTCTTAGAGACTTTGGGATGAGGGTGTGTTGGGGTCAGAGCTGAAAAAAGGCACAAAAGGTTTGGAGGATTGGCGGACGATTGAATCATTGACCACTGAACTGGTTCCAACGTCCAAGACCCTGAATGATTTGAGGAAGCAATCGAAGTCTCCAAACTCAAGGCGCGGTCATCCCGCAACCAGAAACAGTACACTCACTTCTATCTCCCCAATCAGTACAGAACCATTCTTGATCAACTGGATGCCACATCCATGCCCTGGCCATCGAGCGCCCCGCCAGCTCGGCACCCCCCAGATGTCCTCCCAAGGCAAGGTCGTCTCGCCCAGCGGCTGGGCCACGCCCAGCATCCCACTGACACGCCAGCGGCCGCCCAAGGCCTCCCCGCCATGTTGGTACGAGGTCTCACAGCGCGCTACCTGCGGCACCGGTGAACTCCACGCCCAGGGACCCGAACAAAGAACAGGGCCCGGGCGGGTTGGAGCCGAGGTTTTCCCTGGTGCCATCGGGATATCTGCACTTGTTGGTCACGTCCTTGGCCAGCTGAGATCTCACTGTGCTGCCTGCTTTAAAACGGGAACTTAGGTCACCCTCCCCAGAAGTAGATGATCAAGGATCTGGGCCATTGGACTTCAAGGGCATCTGAGATAGTTACCTCAGTATAACTTCCCAATCGATAGAACTATGTCTTGAGAATATTGAAACGATCTATTAAGGAGCCTCTTTGATGAGAAATGAAGGGGGTGAATCTTCGTGTCCCAAGGTACTCCCAACCTATTCACAGGATCCTTGAGCATTCGTGACAGACTTGGGGAAGGAAGACTCTGAAGTGCTAGACTGCCAAATAAACACTAGTTCCTTCCTAGAGTCTCAATATGACTTTCTTGTCAGAACTCATGAGATCATTCAATCAGTCTTCTGGTGCTCAAAATCATTCAGATCCAACATTCCTAGCATCTCAAACACTTGCAGTATCTTCTCCAGCCCACCCTAGCCAAGCCCCCCAAAGCAAAAAAAACTGCCCGTCCTTCACGTCGCCCAGAAGCCCTGAGATCTCGGCAAAGACTGCCGAGCGTGAAGACGCGGAAGAGCTCAGGAACTGGTAGGACAGGGCGGTCCTCAGCTCTGCTTCGGCGGCCATCACCGGGGCATGCCCATAGGTCCTCCTTGTAGGTCCTTACTGTAGATGGTAGGTCCTTATAGATGGTAGGTCAACAAGACGTGGTTTGGGGAGGCCAAACAAAAGTGATCTGATCGCCAAACAGTAGAAGGTTGTGACCAGCCATGGGCCCACCTAGGCCATTCATTGTGCTGGTCTTTAGGGTGCTGAAACTCTTCCGAAGTCCCTAAAAAAGTCCAACATTCCACCACCTTCCACCTTCCACCGATTCCGAACATTCCCATCAATTCCCTTCACTTCTGCTCCAGGAATCTTAGACGTTTGAAGTGGGAGCTCCAGGAAAGCCGTTTCATCCTTCCGAGGTCTCAAGTCTCGACTGCTGGCTCCCAGCTTAAGAGCATGTCGACCTGTCACAACGTGGGACGCCCAAGCTGCGCAGCGCCCCGAACCGCAGCAAACCGCAGCGGATCGGTTGGGAAAGCGAAGACCAAGACTGCATGTAGTAACCGAGTAACATGCATGTAAAGTACAAACCATGCGGATCCCTTCCAATAAATCATATCATCGAGAAAAATGACAGCTTCTGTCCTGGAGCACCCTGAGAAAATCACTGGGCCTTTCTCATCCTTTCTCCCCAGTTCTGGAGAATACCCGGAACTGCTCTGCCGATACCCCACAAGTTCTTTGGGTGCATGATAATGACGACCACTTCCTCAATTTCTGGTGCATCACAACTAGGGTAACAAAGTTTGCCCATCGCAAATCAAATACTGTCAAATAAACACAAATTGGTAGTGCTCTTGAACCAAACTTCAAACACACACTCTCCCTGGCCTAAGAGATCGCTAAAGACCAGCTGGCCGCAGGTGTGCGTGCCAAAGGGCCGCATGAATCCGAGGACTCCGCCCAGGCCAAGTCCCAGCTGCAAGGATGGGATGCAGGGCATCCCATCAACTCGCGCTGGCGAGGCCTTCAAGGAGCCTCGCGACCGGTCGAGGCGACGGGCCCGCGTGCCGCGACGGCGGAAAGGGGGATCTCGAAGCGGGTGTAGTGTTTCCTCGTACCATTGACGTAAACTCCATGCAAAAAATGAGGAGAGTGAAGGGTGTCTGGAATTCTTTGCAGGGGGGAAGGACACCTGGATTCCAGAGGAGTTTCAGAGTGCATGCTAGGATATGCTAGGCATTCACATGGACCTTTGTGAGCTGCTCTATCTAAAATAATCTGCCATGATGTTAACACAGTTGTGGGTGATTTCTCAACACATGTTGTTATATGCTGTGTTCACCTGTTCTATCTCCCAAAACTCCTCAGAACATCTCCGAACCACGGATCCAACAGCAAAGAAAAAGTATTTCTGGCTTCTGTCCAAAGTACACCTCAAAGCATCCTCCTCGAAGCAGAAGCGCCCTTCCGCCGAGACGTGCAGCGGAGGTGCATCTTCGGCTGTGGCTGCTGCTGGAGTGCCATCAACCCTGAGGGAAACCGCAGAGGTCAAACCAGGGGAGGCTTCCTTGGTCGGGCTGCGACGGGAGAGGTGGAAAGACCACCGGTGTCCTCGGTGGACACCACCACTGAAGAAATGATCTGCCCACAAGAAACATGGATCCCCAATGGCTGATAGGATCTCAAAACCTAAAACATGTTCAGGCTGCCTAGGCCTAGTGGCTTCCTTGTTAGATCCGGTGGCACCAGTCACCACATCTTTTAGCAACCAGCTGGAGACTGCAGGCTTTAGACCATCGCTCTACAAGCCCCAACTCCCCCAGTTGAAACATTGATTCGACTGTCTGGTGGTTGATCTAAATTCCTTGTTACAGAACGCCATTCTTCGTGAAACAAATCTTTGTTTTAACATGTTTTAACGAATGGTTTGCAAACAACATAGGCTCTCAATGAACCTAGGCCGAGGCCTTATGTTGACCTTTCAATAAACTCACTGTAAGGGGAAGCACCACATAGAGATATATAATATAATGATGCAAAGCCAGGCTGAAGAACACCCTGCAAGCCAAAGATGCACTCTCCCAGCTACTAACAAAACAAAACAAGATACAGCAAGGCTGGCAAGCATAGGTGTTGGTCGGAGATCGGACCTCCATGGCCTCCCAGTTCACCATGTGACCATGTTCCATCTTGCCTCTTTAGGAGAGTACCAGGATGGTGAGATTCTTTGGACCTTCTCGGCTGAAAAAGAACAACCTAACGCAAGTAAATTTGGATCAAAACTCGATGGTTCCGCTCCATCAAAGCATCACAGAGACCGAGCTTCATATCCAGCACCCGCCACCAAATGGCAACCATCCTCAGGACGGAAGGTCACCGAGACCGAGCTCGGTGTGGCTCCGGGGGCCACTTCAATCGCAGATCCTGGCGAAGCCGCGAGAATCACTGGACAACAAGCTACTACCACCTGCTTGATGATTAATTGTAGGCTTCACATGGGTTGTATTAATCAAATCATGACTAAATATGGCTTAAAACGTTACTGTGAAATATAATTACCATGGTTGGATGTAGGGACTTGGGGTCTAGAAAATGAGGGGACTGAATTTCAGGTCTAGAAAATGAAGGGGCTGCACATTTGCAGCAAGGTCAGATGTTGCTACAAAATTCAGTCGAAACTGTGAGTGGCTAAGCATGCGCAAAGCTCAGGTCCCACTAGAAAATGACTGGGCCAACGTCTATCTCACACTGTTTTACCGCTTTTCGGCTAGATTTAATCGAATGTGGAGTCAGTTTTTTTCCTGACCCTCCCATCTGGATGTGGAAAATCTAAACTGGAAATCACCACAGCTATCTAAAATAATGTTGTTTACATAAATACTACTTATATAATAGTTATAGAGTATTTCAAACTTATAGACACATGGAAGACACTGGAATAGTATTTACTGTAAGATGCAGTTGACACCATGCTTAGCGCACGGAAAGTCATAGGATCAGCGGATCTAGGGCTCTTGATGCATAACTGCAAAGTGACCACAAAATGGCTTGGCAGGCCAAAACGGCAGGGCTGCCCCAAAAGTCAAATTACTAGAACATGACTGCAATTTTTTTCATTACAGATTGCCCTCTAGTGGCCTCAAGGCCCATCATTCTGTAGTGGAAATTCCAGTGGAGATGATATAATTTCGATATCAGGGTTCATGATCTAGGTAACAGTTGCCAGTCAAGACTGATCGACAACTCCCAAACCTTTACTGACGTTGTTCGCTCGTTCATACTGCATACGCACCAAATTAAAATGACCCACATCGACCACTGCATACACCATCATGGCAGCACCCGCACCATATTCCACAATCCCGTTCACCACCAGCAGGCAAACCACCTGCCTTGCCCCAAGCGTGCCGCTGCTGCTGCCAGCTCTGCGTTCAGCTGCCCCAGACTGCTGGCGCGGCGCACCGCAGGCGCTGCGGCTAACGCTGCGGCCCGGGCCTCGCCGCGCAGGTTGGCCACGGCCACGCGGACTGCGTGCAACGGGCTGGCAGCCGGCACGTGGCGCTCAGGCGGCGCCATGGCACGGCCGGAGACTGGAGTGTGAGCCGCTGCGATGAGAGATGGGAGAAAGGAAGCATGGATCACCGAATTGGCGATGTTGGCTTGTGGTAGTTTGTACTTACAAGTTTGTTTAAGGAAAATAGTATTGAAATCACACTCAACGAAAAATATGTGAAGAGACATCTAGCAAGTTCAAAAGTGTGGTAAAGCTGTGTCAACATCAACAACTTTGTTGTGAAATCCCCATCACACATGCCACTCCCCTTACACTGGGGCCCTTCCAATCCATCTCTCCTGTGAGCGCGTGCGCGTGAGCTGGCGCTGCATCTCCAGCTGCTCTGCTTGAGCTCTTCGTTCTGCCTCTTGCAGCTCTGCCTCGTCCACTGGCTGAAAGATGGCCCGTAAATTATCAGGACATATCAGGACATACACACACACACACCAGAAAGACTGTGAGTTGGAGAGTTGGGTGATGCACTTCTCTGGCTGTATCACTCCAATAACGATACGATATGATCATTTTAATATAGTAGTGTGTGTCACGTGTTGACATCTACATTGCAAGCTGTCAAGATCTGCATGCCGGCGAAGCTGGGACCTCTTCTCTTCAATTCGCTCATCCCGATTTTTGTTAGCCGTGGAAACTACATGTTCATCTCAGTCTTGCCTAGGCTTAGGGCCAATCGCTTTTCAAGTTTTTGGATACATTTGGATACTGCAGGTGTGCATGTGTCTTCATATTTAGGCGCCTACATGCAACAACAACCCTTTTTGCTGCTCATTCTGAAGTGCTGCCGCCGGCACCACTGGTGCTACTGGAGTCTGCGCCTGTGCTCTCTTCGGAGCTTGAGACATCCTCTGCAGCACGGGCAGCAGCATCACGCTGCGTTTTCCGCAGCCTCCTCTGTTTCTTGCACTTTTTCCACAAAGGCTTCAAACTCAGGTCTCTCTACACGCCCTACACGCCCTGGGGAGCAAGTGCTGCTCTTGAGCCTCTCTGGCTCCGTGTGAAAAGGGCATCATTGTCTTCCCGAAGAAATTCGCTTCCAGGATGTTAAGGCGCTTGGGGGCAAGTGGAAACTGGACAACAGTGCTGTCAATGTTGAGTGGTGTGCAGTAGGATCCAAAATCCAAAACTGCAAAAGCTCTGGGAGCCGCCAACGCTGCCCCATGTGGTCTTTTTCCAAGGATGATGGTCGATGTCATGTCGAAGTCTGCGCAGCGAAGACTCGCTGCGTTCTTCTCTGTCTTTGACGCCTGTAACGCATAGTCATGTCGAATCGAATCTGTACCCTTGTCTCTACATTCTCTCCCAACCCTTGACACACCTGGTCGATGTGTTTGCGGTCACCGTCAAAGGGAAGAATGAATGAACCAGTGCAACAGGGATCAATGCCCTCAATTAGTCTCTGCTTCAGGAGCCAGTTTGAATGGGGACACACCAAGAAGTTAGCCGCAAACAGATTTCAAACGAAGCAACTTGGCCTTTTCCTTTTGGATTCCTTTGCTTGATTGTGTTGTCGCTGGCCTTGCCCAGGTTTATTTATTTCTGTCCTAGGCAGCGATCGAATTTGGAATTGTTGTTTGAAGTGGTCCTTTGTTCTTCGATTGTGGCAGCGGTGGCGGTTGTAACATGGCTATCGGTCTTGGCCTTGTTCTTGTTGTTGTTGTTGTCGCTGCTGTCGACACAGTAATCGTGCTCATCGCTGTGGTTGCGCTTGGGCTTACATGGTCGTGGAGGCGGTTGCAGCGGTTGTGGTTGGGATGGCAGTGGCTGTTGCAGCTGTAATGGTTGCAATGCTAGGCCGTCGATTTTGCAGCAGTTTCACTGGCCCTTGATGGAACTATTGCGCATCTTTGTTCTGGCTTGTGACTTTTGTCTCGACATGAAACGCACGCGCTTCTTTAAACACAGCAATGGCGCTGAGCAAGCCTGTGCACCATCACCCGGCCAAAGGAACGAAATCGGAAAGTCGCCACCGAAAGTTGTCCCTGACGAAGCTGGCGAGGAAGCAGGTGTTTGTGGCGAAGGACGACCAACGTATCCGTCCTGTCCACATGCTCTTAGTCGACTGCTTCCTTCGAAACGCTTTCGAGCGTTCCTCAAATACTTTCTTGGCAGTTATCGCATGTTCTCGGCACATTTTCCCAATGCGTGACAAGGCCCCGGGAGAAAAATAATAGGATACTTTTCCGACAGAAACAGCGCATGGGCGCGCTTCGCACTGCGCGCCAGCATGGGCGCTTCCATTGTTGGTTCGTCAAAGGTCCAGCCTGGAGCTCGAGAATGCGAAGCTCAGCTTGCTGCACGCGCACGGCAGCCTGAGCTTAAATGGAACCAACCAAACCAACCGAACCAATCTGGCAACAAGGAAGGTTTTGCGGTAAATGTCCATGATCAAACACTAACCTGATCCCAACCTCAAGTTCTGCCTTTCTTAATATGTGGCTAATTTTCAGGTCGATCTGTTGTGACTCTCAAGTATAGATGGTAACTTTACAATAATTGTATACAAACAAAACAAACATGGTTATGGTCTCAGTAGTGAATTGCCCCAGTCTACTGGTGAACAGTGGTCCTTGCAGGCGTCGAAATGAAATCCGCCTTTGGGGCTGGGTAAGCAAAGCGAACAGCTCCACAAATGGCTTGAGACGACGGCTTTACGCTACCTCAAAACTATTCATGCACCGAACACTTGGACTAACTTAGACCACATGAGACATACTTACTTATTATAGACCCCGAAACCATCCAAACCCACTCCGACCTCCGTCAACTCTCCAACCGCGCATCGCGCATCGCCCCGCATCGCCCCGCATCGCCCCCGCATCGCCTCTTGCTGGGACTCCCGTAGGCGCACCTGGAGAAGGCAAGAGAAGAAAAGCCGGGTTTGAACTGCGGTAGAAGAGTCCGCTGACATGGAATAGCCACTGAAGGACAGGTCATGTGAAAACTGGACATCTTGGCCTTGGTGTTTTTGATTGTTTTTGGGTTTCAATGCGAGACCCAAAGACTGCATCCATCATCATCCATCTAATTACATCTGGAATCTAAAGGTTGCTCAACGTCTGTACCACTCTGCAGCTTGGTCACACTGGGCTGAGTAGCCATTGCTCCCCGCCTCAAGCTCTGCACGGCTGCGATCCTCCCAGTGCTGCTTCTCACCCGCATGCCGCTCCTTGAGCTCCTGAAGCGCGAAGCCGGCGAAGAGTCGAAGCATGGCGAAGAGTCGAAACGAAGCGCCGCGGAGGTGGGGGAAACAGGGCACGTTCTCTTTTGAAAGGAAGAACCACATGAACTGGTGAACGCCTGGACCTGGATGGGAGTTTCACAGATTGTCTTGGAGGTTAACAAAGGACGGAGATGATGTGCTCATGGGCTTTGGCCACGAAGCCGTTCAAGTTGACGAAGAAAAGCGTACCCGGCATTCGCAGGGAATGCACATGCTTCAGACCACTAAATAAAGAGCCTTTGTTTTTGTTGATTGCTAATCGGATTCATCCAGATTTCCTCACTAGCCAGCCGATGCCAGCCGGTATCCTGATCAAAATCAACTCCCAATCTTCGAAACCCGATGAGAGGTAGTCCAACAAGTATCCCGAGCGCAACATGCCTCGCATGCCCTGCACGCTTGAACAAACACTAGACAAGCTGAGCTCTCCGTTCCATCCCGTTCCTGCAGCTGGACCTCAAAGGGCGAGAGCACGGGTTTCGAGCACGGAGCACGACGCATGGAAGAGCCTTAGATCCTTTCTAGGGTTGCTGATGGTTGCTGACTTCTTGGAAAAAAACAGTCCACACTTCCACACATCGTTCTGTACATGCTTTGACTCTCAAACAACATATAAATTTACCATTCGGATCCATTCGGACCATTCAGGTCAACTTCTCAAGGGAATGCGAACACCTCCAACTAATCTACCTTCAAAAATGCAATTTTCAAGTAGAAACTGATCGACTTGAGGAAGTTTTCTCTTGCTTTCTGGGCCATTTCTGAAAATACTGCGCGGATTCGCCGAGACATTTCGCCTGGTATTGACCTCGGCTTTGGTCCATCAAGTCCATCTGGACTTGAAAGATCTGCTGCTGATTCCTGGCCGAAGATGCTGACAAAGGTCCTTTTCACCCACTTCTGGGGTGTCCCCAACAAGTAGTAGTAGTCGTGGTGGTAGTAGTATTAGTAATTAGTAGCATTAAAATCCCCGTTGGTTGGACGGGTGACCCTGGCACCCTAGACTTTATAAGAAATCCCCAGTAAAATCAACACCTGGGGAGTTATAAAATGGGTGGTCCTAGGTTCATCAAGATACGCTGATTCTTTATATAATCCTGTGGCTGAAGCATGCTTGTGGCAGCGTGAAAGGCAATGAATTCCCCGGGGGTTCCCCGGGAATGGCAGAACTCTATACTTATAAATTCCCGGCGCTGACGTCACCCAAGTGCAAAAATATCAAAGATATATCCAAGCTAAACGCTATAGTATCCTGTTTCTGCTGACAGCCGCAGTTTTTTTCCATCGACTATCGATGTCTTGATCATCTTGATCGTTTGCAGAAAAACCACAGGTTTTCCTTTCGCGCATTGTGATGAGCTTCACTGAGTTCACAGTGTTTGGGATATCTAAATACCTGTTAGTGCGCTGAGAAGCAGGCCAATTACCCTTTGTCAATTCATACTTGAAACAAATGTTTCAAGGCTTATTTCAAGGCCATGGATGGGCAAATGACCTTCCAGGCAATGCGCCCTTTCGCGGGCCTACCGCCGGCCTTTCGCAGCCCTTTCGCGAAAATCCGTGTTTCTGTTCGGGAAAAAGGATGTGTCATGTATTATGCACATTGTATGTAAGTCTAGGTTGGCACATGTCTATCACTGTCCCCGGCCTTTCGCGGACTGTAGTTTCCCTTTCGCGACATGTGTGTTTTAACATTTGATCGAAATTCCTTCACTGGCAATAACAGACGGCCCTCATGTGGCTATGAAATCCTGTAAGTGAAAGAGCTGTGAGAAAGACTTAAGT